CAGTTTGCACCATAAAATATCACCTTACACATGACGCCTGCGTACAATCCTGTTGGTCTATTATTTTTTTAATGTACATTGACTAGCCCTTTTTGACGTACGCCAAGCGTTACGTAAGCTAACAACAATAATCCCTTAGCGATTTACACTCTGCGAGTTTCGCAGAAGTACCAAAAGAAATGGTATGCGTCAGCAGCTGCTTCTCGGAGTTGTTTAGAAATAAAATTTGATTCCCTTGCTAAAATGTGCCAGTACTAATTTTTCATCAAAACAAATGAACGAATCGTAGAGGAACTGGTTTTTGCCCACTGGCGAAATTGAACTCTCCACTTTTGGCGTGAGAATAGCACCATTCAATAATTCGTTTTGTCTTTCTCCGCTCATGATTTTTAAGAATATTTTAAAATTCATACACCGCATGGCACCGTTAACAAACGCATATTAGGTATTCCAGAACATCATCAAGAATGCTTGGATAATAATCAAACACATGTTAGTGATATTACTGGGATGCTCTCAAACACTGCGCTCAATTTTAATGACAAGCCCTCAGGTGTTATTCTCTTTTTTTCCACAATCGCACGGTGATTTATCTGAAGACTGGTTTTTTCATTCAGCGCTAAATTGTTATTATTATTGTTATTATTATTATTATTACTATTACTATTACTATTGCTATTACTATTATTATTACTGTTATTATTATCATTATTATTCTAATGCTAAATTACTACTATCAATATTATAATAATTATCATCTTTACTATTATTAACAATGCTGTACTATTATTATGACAAATTATCATTGTCATTATTATTATTATCATCGTTACTATTAATATTATCATTGTTGTTATTATTGTTATTATTATCATTGTTATTATTGTTATTATTATTACTATTATTATGATGATAAATTATCATAGCTATTATTACTGGTACTATTATTACAAGCCCAATGAACTTTTGCAGTCGGCGCCGTAAAAAATGTTACGTCAAATTTTGAGGGAGGAAG